TAACATTACATTAAATGAATTTATATTTTGACTCTTACATCGCCCTTGTTATTTTATTTATTACTGTTATACTAAGGGTCCTTGATTATTTTCATCTTATTTGTTTCTCCTAAATTTTAGGTATTATGCATTAAATGGTTAATCGTAGAAAATTATACGAATATTATATTTGATCCTTCTTGTCATCAAGTATTAAATAAGAATGAAATGATACACGCAATCATTGCGAACTTTAAATAGATCCCTAAAAATCATGGATCCTATAAAATCTAATTACTTATTGTTATATCAAATGAATATCTATTCACATTTAGTAAATATTTTTTGTAAATATACAAATAAAAGCTTATTATAATTAAGTAAATATTTTTTCAATGTAATAATTATTACATCACTAATTACATTTAACTATCTTCTTTTTTAATTGAGTAAATATTTATTTATCATGTATATATATATTTTCAATATATTCTTTTGCAAATATACAGGCAAATGCTTATTACAATTTAATGAATTTTTTCAGTGAAGTAAATATTATGAGAAAATTAAATACTTTGGAAATAAATATTACGTAAATTAAAATTTTGAATTTATAAAAATATGTATATAATTAATGAAACTACTATTTCTATATGTTATTTCGCATTACATTATACTATTTTTATTTATGTATTATATGTTCTTACATTTAACCGTAAATTTAATTTTGCAATCAAGCGATACAAAATATTAATTTTATTTGCACACTGCAAATTTAGAAATGTATGCAAAGCTATTACAATAAGTCTTAAAATTACACGTAATGTTGTAATTATGCACAAAAATTTTTTAGTGTTAATAATTACAACATTTTGTGTATAATAAAAGTATTATCCTCGCAAATTAAAAAACCCAACAAATTTAAACCTTTGAAAACTAACCGCAAAAATTTGATCCTTCCTAAATTAAAACGATTACCTAACCACAAAATAGAAAACTCAATAAATTTCAACCTCTGAAAATTATCCCCAAAAATTTGAACTTTTCTAAATTAAAATGATTATCTAATAATGTAACATAATCATTTAAACTTTAATACTTTAAATGATATTATCTAATATAATATATGACCACGAAAAGTAACTGATATATTACTAAATGTGCCAGTTCAAAGTGCACATACATTATGTTATTTTCTATGTTATGTACCACGAAAAGGAACTGATAGATAC